TATATATATATTATTATATTCATTTTATAAGATATAATATTAGGACAGATATCAGTATGTAAATTTCATTCCAGTATATATATCAAATTTTTATTATATATTTTCTTGGTATTATTTTTCAATATTGATATCTTATAAGATGATATAGACAATGCTATAGCATCAAAAATTTTCTGTTATCTCATGAAAATATTAATGCCCTTTTGATAGTTTTATTAATACTTCGATGCTTCGATGCTCTGTTTGATATTTTATGAAAATTTCGATTGATGTTCGATATCTTAGCTTTCATTTTTAAATACAATTAAAATTAAATAACAAAATATTAACAAAGAAAAGAAAAGGATTTAAAATATAATTTTATGTTAAAATAATCTAATCTGTATATTAAATTGTGAAATCTTGTTTGAATTCAATTAATACTAATTATCAACTAAGCAACTTTCAATATCTTTTATTTTTTTTCATTTTCTAAGATATATATAATCCATCTTTATATTGCGCAATCAGCTATTTGATTAATTAAAAAATATTTTTTTTTACATCATTATCTTAATTTAAAATACTAATTATAAACTTATTTAACTATAAATTATTAACAAAAAGGCTATTTTAATTGGAATTTTTTACAGAAATAAAAGGAATTATATACTTATGAAAAAAATTATATACTTATGAAACGAAAACATGACATATTATATTTTTATTATATTTTTTAATATTATAAATCAAATGATTTTATTTTTACAATTTATATAGGATCGTGAGAGATGTTAATAAAAATGTCAATTAAGATTTATTTATTAAATTTATTTATTATTAAGTTAGAAATAATTTAAGTTCGCAGATGAAATAAATCTGCGAAGAGAATGCAATTGTGGTTCAATAGAAACAGTGCGATTCTTTCTTTATTTTTCTTTCTCTCTTCATCTAACAAGTTTCAATTAAAATATTAATGAACAAGCTACAATCGATATTTTTATATATTAATTTTTTTATATATTAATTTTTGAATATGTTTTAATTTTTTAGAATTGATTCTTCAAAGTTGTCCCATAAATATATACTTCGTATGCATATATTCGAACATATTTATATATTTATATATATTTATATATTCGAACTAAATAAATACTCATTATTTTTACGATACGATAAACAATTAATTCACAGAACAAATTCAATCAAACATTTTATTATAGAATTTAAAAATATTATAAACGAGAATTAATTATATAATATAATATCTCGAAAAATTTTAATTATTGTAGCAAATTGAAAATTGAAATAAACAGAACTAAAATTAATAAACAAAACAGAGCGAAAAATAGTCATTAATAAAAGAAATTTTAGACTACATCTACTACAATTATAAAATTATAAAGACTACATTTATATATTAATTGTTCTAAATTTAATTTCAGTGCTGCATAATCATATTTTATATTCAAAATCTATATTCAGTTTATATTCAAAACCAAATAAAAATAAAATCATTAGAACATTAATTTTCTTAATCAAATTAATGACTGTAAATTCACTTGTCAAAAATTATATACAAAAGAAAAATTATCTTGTAGATAAATTGTTATACTTGCGAACTTTAAAAGTGAAATATCAATATCAAATGCAATATTTAATACTAATGCTATTTTCAGCATTTTAAATAATTAAAATATGTATAATATTAAGAAATTAGAAAATTAACCAAACAATTATAAAAAATAACAATGAAATAAAAATTATATGGATTTTATTCCATATTAATAATTATGCTAAAATTATTTTTAACAAGAAAAAACTGACTAAATAGCTAAAAAAAAATTTCAAAATTATCAATATTGAAAAATAATAATAAGCTATCCATAGAAGATATGATAAAAATGCTCAAAAACCAATTATTTTATATATAATATTTTATATAAAATAACCACTTTTTACATATAATCAATATTATTAAAAACTTTCATAAGAAACACAATCTATGCATTAAAAAGAGATAAAATAATAACTTGAATAGTCCATTTCAAGAAAATTTATTATTGTTACAACAAAAAATTAACTCCACAATATAATACATAATTATAATCAATTAGTTTTACCAAATTTACCAAATTTACCAGCATTGCCAAAAATATATAAAAATATATATATGAAATAATAATTTAAGTCACAAAAATAAAAATAAAGTTTACGATTTGTTGCATTTATTACAAAAACTAAATTATTTAAAAAATCATTTGAAAATAATTTTATATTTAAAATTAATAATAATAAATAAATTGTGTCTTTAATCTTGCAATGTAACATAATGTGATAAAAAAATATATATATTATAATAATAATAAAATCATAAAATTTATTATATAAGAATATATTTATATATATAAGAAATATATTTATGAAAAATATAAAAAAAGTAGAAAAAATAGGAAAATGAAATCTTATTTATTATTTAAAAAAAAATATGATAAACAATGTATTAAATATTTTATTATTGAATAAAACCAATTATTTCTAACAACACTTAAATATTAAATATAAGAAAAAAAGCTATACAAATATTACTTATTTTTCATAATTTTTCATTATTTTTCTAAAATTATGTGAATATTATTTTTTAATATTCACTGAATATTAAGTATTTTTGTTTATAATTAAAATGAAAAAAAATATTTATATCCAATTCGTAAATCCAACTTTTTTAGAATAAATAAATGTTTCTATGAAGTTTCTAATATTTACCGTAGCTTGTGTATATATATATATATATATATATATATATATATATGTATGCATAAATTGTCAATATACTTTTATCAATGTTTATCAAATATATTATGATAAAAATATTAAAATCTGATCTATTATCTATATCTATATTATTATTATCTATTATGAATAATTTATATGATATTTTTACGTGAGTTTAAATTTAGAAGGATAATTGAGAAGATAAATTTATTATTATATATTTCATTTATACAGTTTTTAAACATATTATTTTAAAAGGAACTATAAACAAAGAAATGGTTTGTATTTATTAAAATTTTTTAAGTTTTAGAATTGATAATTTATAAATCTTAGTTAGTTATTAAATTTATAATTAATTTTGATTATGCAAAAATTGATTAAATATAAGTATAATGCTATAGTACTTTTAAAAAAACTATATTATAAGTTATAGTATAAGTTACAAATTATATAAATTACACATTTAAAACTTTATTTGCAAAAATGATATTTTATATAAATCAAATTAATATAAAAATTATGTTGTATAGATTTACATTAATAGAATGAAGTACAAGATCAACATTTTTTTGCATTATTCATGATTTCTAATAATAATTAAAAGTTACCTTTCACAAGTTTAAAATCTATTAAAATCTGAATTTACCAACAAATATTGTGTTACGGACAAATCATTAAAAAAATTATTTTTATTGCTTTTATGAAATTTTCATATATAAATATGATAAAATGTTATCAAAAATAATATTAAAATATTTAAAAAAGCTTTTAAAAAGTGAGGTGAATATTTCAGATAATCAATTTTTTAATTTTATTTTATACCAAAATTAATTATGTATATTAGTTTATTTTATAGTTTATAGTTTATTTCGAAACTATTAATTTATAAGCAGAACTTATGTTTTTATATACATTCTGACAAATCTACTGATTATAGTTATTCAAAGTCAATTATCATAATTAATAAGAAATCATCTTTTTGAATTATTTCATTTACTTACACATAATATTCGAATTGTTGATTAGACATTATTTTAAAAAAAAATTGTAATAAAAAATCAGAAGTAATTTAAAAGTTCAATAACTATTTTTATATAATTATAGTTACTTTATATAATTATAGTAACTTTACAATTTGATTAGGATTTTTCTCAATATAATTATAAATAATATTCATCATCAATCAATAACAATATTTTATTAAAGAATATTTTATTAAAGAATATTTTATTAAAGAATTTATTAAAAAAAAATCTACTTGATAATATAAAAAAAATTTGATGCAATTTATTTTTATTTTTTTATTTAAATAAATACTTATATAATAAATATTATTTAAATAATATTTATTGAAATAATTCCTAATTTTATATTTTCTAAATTCTCTTCATATATTAATGTTTTATTATTAAATATTTTTCAAATTTTTCAATACAATATTAAAATTGTTTAATGTTCAATAGATATATTATATGTAGTAAAAGAAAATAGTAGAAAAATGTTCAGAATAGCACAATTTATGTTATATCAAAAATAAAAAGATAATTTCTATGAAACCAAAAATCAAGCATTTTTTATATTTTATATTTTTTATTTGCTAAATTCGTTCGATTCCTGCTGATTGTCAACTTATCTTTTTCCATTCCTAATCACTTTTAGCTTAGTTCTCCACACTTATAACCTCTCAACGTGAACGCTCCCCACTCTTAATTATTTCCAGTACATATATTCATTCTTACTTATGGCAGACGGGTTACCCCTACTCCTGGTCCACGAGCCAAGCGCAAAATGCGTCAGCTGCTCGCCAGTCGTCTTTGCGACGTTGTTAAGTAATAATCGGAAATTGTTGTCACAATAAATTTTGCTACCTGTTCACTACAGTTCTTACGCGTTTCAACCCTATATTTACTATATTGGTTCAATATATGAATCGTCATCGGTTAGAGTGCATTTTTTGTTGATTGACAAACGATAGTGTGATGGTCGAGAAATTACGTAATTAAAGGCCACAGTAGCGCTACATATAACGTAATTCATCAGACTATTGTCGTTTCCATGATAAGAATGATAATGGAGGTTACCTGTCTGAAGCTTCTTCCGAGAATAATCGGGAGAATCCATGCACAATCAATCGGGGATCTCGACGCCTGATACAGAGGTCACGTCCACTATTGTTTCGTAAAAATGGGATTGGCAGGTAAATTTTTTTCTAAGGAAATTTCATTAATAATGTTTTCAATTGATTTGAAAATCTTTTTTCCGAAAATCTATTCTACTATAATATAATAATAATAATTGTCAATGTATGCATATATAAATATTGAATTTGATTTTTTTTTTATATTATATAAAAATTATAATAGATAGAATGCATATCTATCAATCTTCATTTTTTTTCGCGTATTGATTATGAAAAGAATTAATTGTATAATTCTATAATTTTTTATTATTAGAATTAGAATTCTATATAATATAATTTTGTATTTTCTTTTTTTGTGCAAAAGAATTTAATAAGTAATAATATTTATTTTTTATTAGATTTAAAAATTAAAACTACAAAGATTTTAATTTCTATAAATTTAAAAAAAATAACAAACATAATTAATATCTGTTAAATATAGAGTTATAAAATATTATTATTTAAATTAATACACAAAAAATATTATTTATTTATATCATATTTAGCAAAATATATAATATAATTTTATTTTTTAAGTAAACTTATTTAAATAATAAAAATATTAAATAATAAATAATAAAATTACAATTAACTTTTATAGACAAAAAATATTTTACAATTTTGCCTCTTCTTGATACATTGGTAATCATGTTTCAATAATAATCACAATGTTACATTTGTTAAATGATAATAATAATGAACAACGGTATTTGGACATGTCGCGTTTGTGGAATCGATTATCATTATTATATAATTGTGACTAGTTGTATGGAACACTTATCGTGCGAAAAGTGGAAAATTTCGAAGATATCCGCGTCAGTAGGTCAGTTTACATCTCATTATTAACTAGTGCATACGTATCCATATTTGATTCGTACCATTGTTTTCATTAAAGCATTCTTCATTAATTTTAAATCAATATAATATGTATATTTTATAAAAGAATATTTCTATTGATTTTTTGGTTTATAAAGAATAATGCTTTTAATAATAAGATTCTATTTTAATAATAAGACAAAAATTCGAAGAAA